ATATATATATTTGGGAAAAGGTTACGATATTATATACGCACCACCACCTGATAAGCCGGTATACGTAGATGATTTTGCCCACAGTGACCGAGATGATTTGATGGGATGCCCTCAGAGGCTTGATGATGTTATGAACACATGTACCTATGCACGACACGACATTTTTACACATATGCATGGCATTATACATATTAATGATTGATAGCATGATTCAGAAATACATGTCGAGTCTTTTACTCCATGTTTCCCTCATGTCTATTATTTACCGATTTTCATTCCTTACATACTCGGTACATTATTGTACTGACGTCCCTTTTGCCTGGGACGCTGCGTTTCTTGCCCGCATGTCTCAATAGATAGGTTGAGAGTCCTCCAAGTAGGCCATCAACTCAATGAAAGATGTTGGTGCGCTCTAGTTGCTCCGGAGTTGCTTGTTTGGTTAGTATAATATAGATGTGTATTGTTTGGTATGGCGGGGCCCTGTCCCAACCTTTATGATATTATGTACTCTTAGAGGCATGTATACGGATAATTGTATGGCCTTGTCGGCCTATGTTTAGTGTACGAGTGATCATTTTGGTCTTGTAGGCCAGTATATCATATGTATAAGTTTGGATTACATGTTGGGGTGTCTAATGTCGAGTATTTTCTCATGTTTTATTCTACTTATCTCACGACGGCCTCTATGGCTCATTTACCTATAATAGTAAAGATTCGTTATGTCGGTACTCGCTTGAGTAAGGTACCGAGAGCCAGTTGCGGCCCATCGATTTGGCCTTGACAAAAGTGGTATTAGAGCAGTTCTATCCTAGGGTGTCTACAAGTCGTGTCTAGTAGAGTCTTGTTTATGGGTGTGTTGTGCACCACACTTATAAGCAGGAGGCTACAGGGCATTTAGGACTATCACTCCCTCTTCTTACTCTATATCGTGTGGTAGAGCTCAGTTGTGAGAACTCAATTTCCTAAACTCTATCTTACAATGATACCTACATCAAGAAGGACGGTTGGTAAGAGATTGCATGTGGATATGGAAGATTTGATTCAGAGGAACTCGATTAGCATCATGCTTATGATGAGAAAATGTGAGGACTTCAGCAGATCATGTGTGTACTAAGACGTGTAAGCTTCTTAATAAGGAGTCTTAAGGCAAGGATATCTACTCAGTGATATGGTGAAAGGCAATGAGAGATTCAGAAGCTAGATAAAAGTTTCAGCAAGTAAAAGAAGCAAGGTGAAGAAGGGTACGAGGCACCCAATTAATGAAGATTATCAGTATTTTTCAAATCAGGCAAAGAAATATAAGCATTTTGAATTATCTTCAACAGTAACAGAGGTATGTACAATTGGTCACACCCATTCCAGTTATGCCCTACGGGGGCTAACAGGTGTAGTTAAGAGAAGGACGAGATAATCAAGATCCGGCTGGGGTTAGGGTAACCCAAATTGGTGAATGGATTGCTTGCGTTAGTTGACATTTCCGAAGGATATTACGAATGTGCTAGTAGATCTCCTTGTGAGACCCCCAAATGGTGCACTCTAAAATAGTAAATGTAGATATGAGTACTACAAAGACATGCACTGGGAGCCTTGAAGAGATAAATATTACCTTAGTATGGCTCCCGTCCCTAGTAGAGAAAGAATGTTAGGCAACTCGAAGAGCCAATGGATGGAGCAAGGGGAGCTAAAAGCAAAAGAATGCTTTGTTCGAGTTTTTAGAATAAAGTGAAAGAAATAAGAAGAAAGTTAATGAAGCAGTAAGATGTGATGCATGGATGACAACGGTAAATCAAAAAATGATAGTATTACAGAGTCTATAGTCAAGGGAAGGAATAAATGAGAGGTGACATGCCTTGAGACAACAGAAGAGTATAGGCCATAAGGTGAAATCCTCACTTCGAGAAATAAGTTGGTGACTCCAACGCAAGTACCAGAAGCAAAAGTTAGACCATAGAATAATAGAAATTAGTATGGACTGGCAAACAAGATAAACTAAACATGAATTAGTGACTGAGTGATTTGATGATGCTAACCATCATGAGAATTTCATATTGCATTCCGGCAATAATAGAATGGACCACAGAAGAAGATTCACGAGAAATTTAGAGAATGGTTATTCAGGAAGGCGCTTCCCTAAAGCAAGCAACATGAGCAAAGTTAAGCTTGAGGG